CGTTTACTATGAATCTTCGTTGTGATTCCTGAGTTTAGTCTTAGCATTATTAATTTTTGTGAATTTTATTTGAGTTACAAATCAGACGTAATACTGTCAGGATTTTTCACCATTATAAGCTGCTCAAAAGCTCTAATATATTATACAGAAATGCAGTAAACCCAAATAATTGATCCTAATAAGTCCATTTACTTAAGAAAAATGATATCTACATTATCAACTCTAATATTGCAAATTTGATGAAATGGAATTCCTGTAGCAATTTGTAATTGAGCAGGTAAATTCACATCTGAAACTATTTCTGTCATAGGATATTCAACCTGCAATTTTGGAATTAATTCAAGAAAACAAAAAATTCTTTCTTATGACTGTAAAAATATTTAATGATTCCTACACTAATATAACTAACTAATTTAGCTAATCTGACAGCATCTCTTTTCATTAATTCAAAGGTCTCTTGCTTTGTAATCGTAACAAGTCTCTTCAATGATCTTTTGATGACGCCTTTAAAGTGAACAATCTCTTCCAAATAAGAAGATTGCATTTTTATATTAATCTATTATAGCTTAATCTTTGAGATGACAAGTATCATGAGTAAGTCGCATGATGAAAATCGGTAAACCAGAAACTCTTAAGAAAATGCTTGCTCAAAATTATTTGGATTTTTCACAAACTATCTAGGATTTTCCACTTTTCTAATTTTTTTTCCTTTTCTACCCTCTGAAGCTTTGATCATTATAGGAAATCTAATGATATTTGCTTTATTTAACCTATTATCAATGTCTTTGACATATGTCGTAAATACTCAGAAATAATGACATGACTTAATTTATCAAATTCAGTTTGGATAACTCTATTACCACTCCAATCCATCTTGCAGATTAAGCAATAATTATAGATGATATCACCTAATGTACGCATCACTGAACTGGGATGACTAATGAAAACTATCTTATGTTTACTCTACGCTAATAATTCAGTAATTTAGGGTTATCAGATGCATGTTCCCTATTTATGAGAAGGATCAAATCATATTCCATTAAAATATATGCACGATAATATTATTAATTAATTTTTTTTAGAGAATGCTTTCCAACCAATCTAAGCAGTATGAACATTAGTACATTTAGTGATATTAACAATTAATAAAACATTAGCATAATTATTATTATTAGAACTACCATGTACTATAATATATTGATAAGCCATATGTAGCAATAATCTTTAAATCTTTAGGAGTAGCTATCACATTAAACTGTATAGACCTTTCATCACTAAATGTTTCATAAGCCTATTTTCTAATAGATCTAATCTCTTAATAGCCGCTATACTATTATTCGATATTAAAAGTTTTGTGATTACAGTGTGACCATTATGTTTTTTACATATTCTCTTACGAGACAAGACCTCTTGAAGTATTTGTTTAATCATTCTTGAAAATATCATCGAAATAAAAAAAATAAAAATAAAAATAAAAAAATGGGAAAATATGGGTGAAAGTAAATATGAAGAAAAAAAGAGAAAAGTATTAAAGATGATGTGTAAGTTATGTAGTTAGTAACCAAAAATCAGTTTGAATAACTCTTGATAAACATTTATTTAATTTAAATTATAAAACAATTTAGAATATAATCACAATTCGAATTCAAAGAATCAATGCAACTGTAAATAAAATATCTTACCAATAAATTGATAAAATGTAATAATGTTATAAAAAAAAATAAAGTTTTTTTTTACAATGTAAAAAAAAGAGTGATTTTCTTTATTCTATTTTATAACTTTTTATTAAATTAAATCAATCGATTTTTATTTACCAAAGATATTTTTATTATCATTAGTCTTTCACAAAATGGTATTATAAAAAGAATAGAATTGAAAATCATAAAAAAAACCTGATTCAACAATTTTAATTTGATAGGATAACCATTTATTTGAAATTGACTTCCTCAGCATAACTGCGAAATTATATAATCTATTTTGCCGATATTATCTAAATATAGTTAGATTAGTTTTCGCAAAAATTTTAAAAATTTTGTTTAAATTTCCCTCAACTTTTAAATCATTTCTTCTATAAGAATGTTTTCCTGTTCTACAAGTTTGCTTAAATCATAAGAAAGGTTTTAAATGTCATTTTTAACTTATGTATTATATTTTATAAAAATTATTTTATAAAGAAACTGTATTAAAAACATTTATTTTCTTCTAAAAATACTTGTAAAGAAGACAAAAATGCAATTTTGAAAGTCATTCAAAAAAATAAATCATTTTTTTTGTCAAAAATTTATTACCTATTTTGGAATTTTAGTAAAAGTGATTGATGGTTACACTGTAAAATCTTTGAAATGTGATCAGTCATGTGACATGTCCAATTATTAATAATGTTTTATTAGTAATACATGAAGAATAAACATTCAACTTATTATAAATAATAAAAGTTTTTTTGTTAACTACTTCTTTATATAAAAATATATAATTTATTATTAAAATACATATTAAATAGCTAACTAGAAGTTGCGATATGCAGGGAACTTCGTCCCCCATTAAGCATCAGATTAAATATCTTATATTCATATAAATTAATTTATATTATAATCAATAATATTCGTATCTATATCTACATAAATATTTTGTTATATTTGCAAAGTTATTCAATAAATTTTAAAATATGAGAGTTTTTTAATAAATATTTGATTAGATTAAAATTTTTATTTATTTAAATATACTATATTTATAAAGGTAAAGAAGTATTTGATTTTTGTTCTAATCTTTTTTATTCTTTAAGCATTAATTTATCTGTAATAAATGGTGAAGGATATAATGAGACGATGTGCACTTTTGACCAATCTGAGCATCGGCTTAATGCAACATAGACTTAATTGACCAGCAGAAAATATTTCTTGATAAAAGAAAAAATTCTCTCCTGTTTATCCCAAAAATGACCAGAAAAAATAGCAAGCAAAAACAAAAACAACGAGGACATTAATCTTCACTCTTAACAACGCAAAAAGCTAAAAAATAAATTACAGCGCAAACTGTGGATATTCCACTAACTCAACAAACTACTGAGACTTCCTTCAGAACCAGTAGTGTCTATGGAAGTCGACCCTTCACCTTTGAAAAAAGGCAAAGAAAAAGAAACTTTAGAAGAGACTTCATAAATAACCACCACCACTCTCGATGTTGACGTCAGTTTTGACGTGTCAGAGAACTTCTTGGACAAAAGTACATCTTCAGTACAAGCTTTTGAATGTCAAAAGTCTTCTTTCCACAGATATTTTCTCCTCAAAGAATTTCCAGGAACTTCACGCAGCAAAAAGTCTCTTCTGTTGTCGATTTGCTTTTTGACAAATACGATTCGTTCTCAGAAGCGATATTAGCCAAACATCTGAATGACCAATCACAGTGCATTCTGTAAATTTCTTTTTGTAACCAAGAAGAACGAGATCATGCATGTTCAGTTCCATTGCCCAATTTGGAAAATCACACATTTTTACTCTTCAATGTAATACGTCCACAACCATATATCCTTGCAAGGTCGATCAGGGTAACTGAAACCCCCCTGGATTCCACAGAACACAGGATTAAAATGAAATTTGCCAGATTTGGAATGATCATTCATTTCACAATAGAAACAAAGAATATGTGGCAACAGACCACTATTACCTTCACGGAAAATGCAAATTTTAAGGGACTAAAGGAATTGCTATAGTTTCTTTGTATTTAACAACATGGTCAGAGTCCATATGGTTGACCAATCTCGTGCAGATATTCTGGCACGTTCAAAATTTTCAGCAAACTTGCTGGTCTTCCTAGGTTCACGACGGGTAAACAACTCAAGGAAATTGGAAAAATGGTTGACGCTATTGCCTGGGTTATTCCCAAGGCCTGGTCTAACTACCAAAATTTACAATACACATTTTTTTACTTTGCCTCCGCAGACAATATTCAAGCTGCTCTTTCTAATAAAAATCTTACCATAGATGAAAAAAACGTGACATAGACTGACTCAAAGGCCAAACTTTGTGCTATTTGTTCGTCACCTAAGCATAAAGCAAATGATTGTTCACGAAGAAGGAAAAGTCTATCTGACCGAAATATGCAGAAACTTTATCAAAGATTTCAACCAGCCCAATATTCCAATTATAAGGCTTCACTTAAAAGATGAGATGCGCAGTAAACCCAGACATCACCTTCGCCTATGTTACTAAACCATCATCTACTTTGAATAACTCTCAACAATCAATATCACCTAGTAATAATAATAATAATAACATTCCTAATAATAATAATAACAACCAAAACAAACCACCTTCACAACCTGATAACAAAAGAAACGCACAATCTGGTTTATAGTCTAACGATATTCCACTGAATATGAATGAAGAAATCCTTTTCAATAATACTATTTATCCTACACCTAATGGCACGATATATAAGGTTACCAAAGCAGGCGGATCTATGCATGCTAACAATGATGACGATTTCAAAGACTACATCAAATCCCAATTTAATAATCTTAATAAAAATTTGAGCATTCTTATGAGCACTTTAGCATTCACAATCAAAAGGGTTGAATCAGTTGAACAATCGCTTAATATCAAGGTCATAACTCCTGTAGAAGCTGATGTACAAAATCTCAATGCCGGTGAAATGGAAGAAAAGGTGGAACCCACCATCGATTCATCAGCATCTACCATTCTTAAACAACAAAAGACTATTGAAGGTCTTAGAAATATCAATGTGATGCACCAAAACTGCCTCAAGTCCTTCACCATAATGGTTAATACTCTAGTTCAATCATGCGCTGCTTTCCAAAACGTACTTTTGAAAAATAATTTGCTCTTCCAAGAACAAGCCAATAATATCTTTCCACTTTGTGTAATATTCGATACTGATATTGAATTTTATATCAAAGACCTCCCTCAATATTAATTTTTTAATGATCACTGTCCCTACTGATAATAATGCACAAGATGCATCAATTCCTAATACAACCTCTTTAATTCAAACTCCTTCTCCTTTTTTATCTTTCGTGTTCCATAATGTTCATAGCTTTACCAATACGGCTAAACAACACTTTCTCATCGAGCAATACATTTCATTAAATATAGATGCTATTGGTCTACAAGAAACTAATTTCCTCTAACCACATATTCGACAATTTAATCTAAAACACTCATCTAACTTCGTAGGTTTTTTCAGTTCAGAATCATCTCCTAACAGAACTGGTTTTAGCGTAGACATCCTATTATGACCATCACTGGCCAATCATGTTTTCTATCATAAACAATTCTTCAACCGGATTATTTATATTGACCTTCAATTTATAAATAAACAAAAATTATGATTCATCAATTGCTACCTGCCCCCATCTGACACCACAACAAGAAAATTGGTTAAAAAAGAATTAGTAAAATTGATCAATGATGCTATTTCTAAGGATTTCCACATTATTTTAACTGGGGATTTCAACACCGATATGTACTGAGACAAGAATCCAAAAGGAGTAAAAGAATTTTTTCGTTTCTCTAAAATTTGCATTTGTTTGACGCATGCACATTGAAACACAGTAATAATCAGGTTAAGTATCCAACTTTCAAATCAATGACTTCGTATTCTCACATCGATTTTGTTTGGACTTCTGCAGAATGTGCCTATAACTTTAACACTTGTAACACTGTATCTTTGTTACCGCAAATTTCTGATCATGCAATTGTAATTTGTTCCATAGAAAATTACCTTGAAGTCAAGAACAATATACAAAATATTCAGAAAAAGATGATATACGATTATGATAAGATAACAGATTAACTCTGGAAGGAATATAAAGATAAAATAGACGTTCTTACCAATAGTTGTGAACTGCGCCTCTTAAAATTCAACACAAAACTTAACCAGACCAAACTTTATTTTTACTGGAATTTGTTACAAGTTTGTATAATCAAAGCTGCTGATAATGTTATTCCATCACATAAATTATCTGATCAATATAAACTAAAGAAACCTCCTTTATTAACCAAACTTTATAAAAATCTTAGATTCTTATATAAGTTTAATAAGAAAATTAAAACGGCATGCAAGTCTGATAAGTTACCTGAGGATTGGTTTATAATTTACAACAGATTCCATGAGATCTCTAACGTTTTCAGATATCATCTAATAGCGTTACCTCCAACACTGAGAATATTTATTCTGATCTCGTTGTTTCTGTGTGTTAAAATTTTACTCAATTGTCTTCTAATTAAAATCAAATTACATGAGCAAGAATTCAAATTGGCATCAATACAACAAGCAATAGAAAGCAGGTTGGACAATTATGCAGCCGCTCCTTCTCAAATGATCGATTCAGTACTTAATCGTTCACGAAAGACTATTGTGTTAGATAGATGTCTCAATGATGCGTCCAGGTTACATGATTTTCTAACAGATGAAAGGTTTGTCAAAAA